TATATTTTTTTTTTAAAGAGCTCCTGTGCAGGTGTCAAAATACAGATTTAGTGCTTGAAACTGGTTGTAGACACCCACTACATAAACAGGTGGGTTCAAGAAGGGTTCAAGAAGACTCTATGACTGTTTTGAGGGAAAGGTTGTCCCACAAACTTTTTGAACAAGTTCCAAACTCAAGCAATGCGACTGTGCAGGTCTGCAACTCAAGAGGAAACTGAGAACCACTGTGAACACTGTGAAGCAAACTGACGACTCCCTAATTAATGCCGTTGGCCGACCAGTTGCACACCAGTGAAATGCAAGGAAATCAATCTCCACTCTTCTGACTATTCAGGCAATGAAACCATTTGGAATTAACAAACAGCCACAGAAACACTGAACATTTCTTCCAAAAGATGGAAGAGGTGACAAACTTGTTTAAGTGAGAGAAGATTTGTATCTGTGCTGGAAAATGTTCAAGTGGATTCAAGCCAGAATCTCACTGGGCTGCGACTGCTGGGACTGCTGGTGTCTTGTAACATTCATGGGGGTTCTCAATTTTTTTCTTGTGAGTCTGAGAGGCTCACAACCATGTATCTTGAATTTTAAGCATGGTAAAAAAATTATGTGACAAACTTTCTCTGAAAATAGTCACAGTGTCGTCTCAAACCCTTTTAAATGTTGAGGACGTCTCCAACTCGTCTCAAGAGTGCTGAAGCTGCATTCTGATACCTGCACGAATGTTCTCCTCCAGTAGAACATGTCCCAGTCCAGCCACGCTGATGATGAAGTTATAACTCCTAAAGACAATTTCAAACCTGCAAATCTTCATTTCAAAATTGTACTCCAGCAGATTAAATCACAACCGTGGGGGCAGAGGTACAAAACAAGTTAAAACAGATTTTTGGGCAGCAAAATCATCTACCCAGGCTTAAGTATGACTTTGCAAGTCATGCTCACAAAAATGGCTAGGAAATATATATAAAAAAATGTCCATGCAAAACAAAGTCACAAAGCTGGTAGAAACACTCAAAATGTACTTGTTCAAATGTTCCTATTTTTATGTTTTTTGATGCAGTTTTGAGTCTCCAACACACCATGTGCTCGCCAGGCACCAAACACCGCACCCACCCTATGGACCAAGAAAATCACCCTAACTCAGCACATATGATAGTTTGAGTCAAAACAAATAATTTTTAAGTGACTGTACGATTTTTCATAAATTCCTATCTAGCGATCCTGGTAAAAAACAGCCAGAATAATCTCAATTTGTAGAACCAGTGATAAATTCTGATGCAGGGATTCACAATCCTCCATGAGTATCAATGGGGGCAGCTGTGGCTGAGTGGTTAGAGCCGTCGTCTTCCAAAGGGGGTAGTTGAGGGTTCAATTCCACCAGCAATCACATATTGAAGTGTCCCTGGGCAAGACACTGATCCCCTCATTGCCTCCGCTGTGTGTCCCATGGGTGTATGAATGTGATCTAATGTCTTATATTTCCCCCCTGGGATTAATAAAGTATCTATCTGAAGCACTGATTAGTCGCTATAACATGATTTGTTCAATTATCTTTGTAGAGATGTAGTAGAGTGCTGTGTGGAGGTAAATGAGGGCACAGATTGTGTTGCGAAGTGCTTTGAGTATCTTGATTAGAGAGAAAGGCATTATCTTAGTACAATGCATTTTCCATAAATAGCTAGACAAACTGATGTATCACAAGCAAATTTCTGACACCTGAAACAACTCAAATGTCAGAAGTATTGTAACAGTTTGAGATGATGCTCCACTGACAGATCTTGCACTGTGTGGCTTTTGGAAACAACATTTATTTACAGTACATAAACCTCTGTGGTAATTTAGATGAAAGACTGGCTTTGTTGCAACACGGTCTGCAGTCTGCTGCAAACTATTCTCTGTGAAATACAACTTGCAAAACACAAAAGTGTTACACAAACCCATCGCATGACTATATGATGCAAAAGTACAAGAGTATTATGAGGTCTGAATTTCTCTTTTTATAAAATTTAATTGATTAAGGACCCTGAATACACCATTCAAAGCTGAACAGTCGACCTGCGGTCATGTGGTTGCGAGACGTTTGATTTCACACACAAATTTTATAGTCCACAAGACACAGGTGCTGCAGTATATGTCACCGCATGGGTTTCTTCCCGCCAGAGTCTCCACTCTATCCCTGCACCTGCCGTTTGGCCACAAAGCGCCACACTTTTCAGCAGACTCCACCATACACAAGGTCTGCACGATCTCCATCCAGGAGTTTTTGGCCATTTGACCAATTTAGTGTGTTTGAAAAGTCGTACAGCTGAAAGTCAGAGTGCATTTCAGCTTTGACAAACACGTCCACAAACTTCTGACCAATCACACAATACTTGGCGTGTATGCCTGTGAGTAAATATCTGCTTGGTCCATGTGTCGAGAAGAGGCGGGTGAAGCTACTCTGAGAACAAAATGACACGATTTTTGTCACGAACACGTCAATACGAGACGATTTCATCGCTTCAGATGGAGTATGCAGGGACCTTTAGTCGGCTGTCTAACGCATGTAAGACACTGACCACAAAACCCACTGAACCTTACTATAAAAAATTCAAACTATCATATTAATGATGAGCTGAAGTTAAGATTAACATGTATTTTAGCTACCTAAAAATAACTATTTCTAGCATCTATAAATGTACCGGTACTCATTGTTTCAGCTCAGTTATTTGTAAAGATGTTCTAAAATTAATTTTATATGACAGTTGTCCCTGTGTCTTCACTCCATTTGCTTCTGATTAAGAGTGAGAATGTCCTCATGAAGCAAAACACACAAGACAGAGATGCACATCGAAACCGTAATTAGATACTGTGGATGTGTGAAGATGACTAATTAAGTACATCTAACAAGGTTGAGTCAGGTCCTCTGGACAGATTCTTCTTTGTTGAAATGTTTAGTCTTTTATCCAAAAGTCTTCTTCAGTTTGAGGAGCTGCAACAAACTGTCTTATAAGCAGCATCTTTCTCATTGTGGATCAACCAGTTTGCTTGTGAAAGCCAAAACTGCTTGTTCACATGCAAAATTAGGACCAGTGTTCTAATAATAGATTGTTAGTGCTCTAATGCTATTGCTATTCACAGAGGGCTGAGTGATACTAGCAATAACAGCATTGTAAGAGGGTGACAGTTGACCACGGAGGCCTCCGCCTCGTTTAACGATGGGCTGGTTCACTTAACAAAGATGGCCTCCTTTTCTCATTGAGCGGTTGGATAGAAGTCAAGGTCTTTTGGATAAACTGAGCATGCATCAGAACACTAATTAAGTACATTGATTTCAATCTTGAGATATTTTAGTCAGAACCATTGGCATTAAGTCTTGTAACCTCAAGCCTTTTGCCTCTAGCAAAGACAAGTATGTTTGAGCCTGATGATCTCACCTCTTTGTAACGCAGCACCTTCAGATTCTTTTCATTTCTAAACTTGTATTCAACTGACTCGTGTGATTTTACAGAACAGCACGCAGTTATACCGTACAACTTTATCGCACTTGTTGATAATAAACTCCGCAAATCTGTAAACAGACACTGACGTGTACAAGGAGCACAGTTTCTCCTTCAAGCTGAATAAATCAGACGGACTGGTTGGTTCTAAAATGTCCTCATGGAGAAGAAGAAGAAGAAGAAGAAAACAAAGCAATGCTAATTTAGAGACATTAAAAACATAAAATCTCTGTTGGAGGAATGATACAACCATTAAGAACTAAAGAGGCTAATTATCAGAGGAGCACTACTTGACCCATTAGGATCTAATGGGTCAAATGAGTGGAACTGCATGCATTGTGCAAAGAATGCCTCGGGTCTTAATGGGTAAATGATTTAACATTTTCCACCAAGTCACACCTTTAACCACAGCCACCCCCCCCCCCACCCCCCAAAAAAAAATCAACCTTGATGTCACAGACAAGCTCATTAAACAGTACACTGACTAAACCTGATACCATATCTGAATTGTTCTGTTTTGTCTTGAAGTAGTGAGAAGCACTGGTTTACCTGGTGAGTAGTGTTGGGTAGCGGAGCGGCAACGTGATAGCTAGGTAGCGGTCCATAGCAATCACACACAGCGTTTCTATGCTGGCCGTCACACACAGAATGTCAGTTGCAGTCCAGAAGTTGCACATATAATTCCCAAACTTCCAAGAATTTAGCAGGATGTTACTGGAGCTAAATGGAACCACAACCACACCCATGATGAGGTCAGCAACAGCCAGGGAAGCGATGAAGAGGTTGGTGATTGTTTGGAGCCGCTGGAACCGCAGGATGGCTGTGATGACCATCACATTACCTGCACAGAGGGGATGAATGCTGCAGTAAAACTATAAATAGATTAAATTCTGATCATCTAAGAATCTGCGCTTTTACCGCGAGAGGCATGTCTGTTACAGTACTTACCAAAAACTATGGCCAGAACAAGAACAGCCATGGCAGCACCAATCAGCACCAGTTCAGCATCGCTGTATTGTTGTGTATCTGGGACCTGGGTCAAGTTGTTGGGCGATGTTTGGTTAATTGGTGTTGACTCAGAGGTCACACCTGCCATGATCTACTGGCCAAACAAAAGAGTACAAAAAAAAACATTAATTATAGTGTAAGAAAAAAAAAACAGTTCACAAATGTTAAAAAGTGAAAACTCAACATATCCTTGAAAAACATTTTAAATGAAGATGAATATATGATCACAAACTCTGGATAGTGACAGCAAGAACAAGATCGCGGATATTGGTGGTTGAAATGAGTTTCCTCCGCAGGGCAACTGGACTCTCCCTTAGAGACAGGGTGAGAAGTTCAGTTATCCAGGAGACTCAGAGTAGAACGGCTGCTCCTTCACATCGAGAGGAGCCAGTTGAGGTGGTTCGGGCATCTGGTAAGGATACTCCCTTGGCACCTCCCTTGGAAGGTGGATCGAGCGTGTCTGACTGGGAGGAGACCCTGACCCAGGACACACTAGAGAGACTATGTCTCTTGGTTGGCCTGGAAACATCTTTCCCAGAAGAGCTAGAAGAGATGGCTGTGGAAAGAGAAGTCTGGGCCTCCCTGCTCAAGCTGCTGCGTCCACAACCTGATTTAGGAACAAGCGGAAGATAATGGGTGGATATATGGATGGATGGACAGATGGATGAATGGATGAATGTACAAATGGACAAATGGACAATGGATGAAAAGACAGATAGATGGATGGATGGACAGATGGATGAACGGACAAATGGATGGATGTGCGGATGGAGGAACGGATGGATGGATGGCTTTAAAGAAACTCAGAAAGTAGTCATTTAATGGCGTTTCACTTCTGAAGTCAACCTAATTCAAGATGGCTGCCACAGCTAATGACCAATAACAACATAAAAATGTCAGTTTTACAGGTTTACAGATAAAATCTGGTGTAGTGTCGGCTGAGAGTAACAGCCGACACTACACCAAACACTAATATACATGTATCACACGTTATTTGTTTAAAATGTTAGTATAATTTGATGGAGTCAACCTTGTTTTTCTGTTAGCAAAATATCCAATGAATTAATGAATGGATGTTACTGAAAGTCCCGGAAAGCAGTGAAGAGATGTAAATCTACAAATTATTACCTTTTGGAGTCACCCTGATTCTAAACAACATAGCAGACACAAAAGTGGCCGTGACTCAGTAAGATTTATAGATACTGAGCTGAAACTTGGTTCGCTCGTGTCTGAGAGTCTTGCCCGTCACACACTCCCGAGTGCGAATAAATCCTTCGTAATCTTTGTTTAAAACTTTGGCATGCAAGGTGGTGGGGGATACACACTCCATCGAATAATGTACATTCCCTCATTGGTTTAGTGTTTTAGTTGCACTAAATCTAAAAGATGGGTAGTAAAAATGATTTACAATGGATTTTTAAAATATAAACCGTACTATAAATCCAATACGTAATAATTTAGGAATGATCCTAGCTAAAAAAGCTGTTTAACCTATAGACATAAAAAGCTGAATGTTTTGTTTGTTGTTGTGTTTAAAGGAGGGTATTGATAGGAAAATGTTAGGTGTTCTATTTTAAAGCACATTTTTATTATGAAATAAGAAGTTGTGCAAAAAGTTAAACCTACTTCACAGGTTTGCCTGAACGTTTGAAATGGGGTTTTCACAAGAGGGTGAGCTCATTAAAGAACCACGTAAAGGCTGTATGTGTATGAAGTTGGTTTTGGTGGTGAGTCAAGAAGGGCGGCTCCTGCATCAGTTGTGCCTGAAGGCACCACTCGCTCATTATATCATGTTTCTTTTCAAATCCGCGCACAGATGATCCTAATTACAGCATATTATGCTTACTTTTGGACTATAAGCCAAAACTACTCATCATCACTGCTCATCAATGCTCTCTTTCCAAGACATCAAAATGCCAAAATATTAAACTAAATCTGAAGCTTTTCCGCTGATGCTACAGATCAGCAGGTGTCATTTTATTATAAACTAAATATATGTTGTCCTTACAGAGAAAGCAATAAAGCAATGTGTTTTCTGGTGTGCGTTATCATTTGTCCATCATGTTCAGCTGTGTGTTTGTCTTTCAATTTTTATCCTTTACTGATAACAAAAGTCCACTGACAGCTTTTATCTCTGATGGAGCATCGTGCAATAATAGTATGTTATTCATGTCTTATACAGAATTTCTTTATTTGTAGTATTTTATGATAAAAATGACCGAAGATAACGTGGAGGAAAGCAGGAAATGTAGGTTCTGTTCCAAACTCTCGGACCACCTGGACTCAAAAGCAGTTTCCTAACATGTTTTACAGATCACCGACCCTTTGCTTTAACATGCGGATCCGGGTTTAGAACAAATACAGACTAAAGCTGAAGAAAGTCAGTAGCCACAGAATAATATTTATTATGCAAAACTGGCTTTAAAATGATAATGCAGCAGCGTAGGAATAGACTAAGAATTGGCAGCTTTAAAATCAAAGGTAAAAAACATCATCCTGAATTAAATGAAATGTTGCAGTTTGAAAACATTTACTCTAGTAGCAAAGATCATGCTCAGTAATCAAGGAATAAAATCCAACAAAGTAACCGTATTTTCCGCCGTACACGTCGCTCCGACCTATAAGTCGCATCAGTCTAAATATGTCTAATAAAGTGGAAAAATCCATAAATACGGTGCTTTGCCGTATACATCGCATCTATTATGCATCACTGTTGACAACACGGAAATGTGGGCCAGTGTTGTGCCAAAAATCGATTGACTGCCAAAATGGCGGCCGCGGGAGCATGCACGGGACAACTTTAACAAGAATTTAACAAGATTAACAGTTGAAAAACAATTATTTGTTTGCTCAGAATTATAGCAAAGGTGTGTCTCAGTCTAACTTTTCCTTAATAAAAGGACTTTGACGGTCAAATCAGCTGCATTTTCAAAAGCCGATACGCGGAAGTAGGAATGCGCAGAGTGACGAGTCGCTGTGCATTTCTTCGAAATTTAACAAGATAAGCACGTAAAACAATTACATGTTTGCTCGACATTATAGTAAAGGTGTGTCTCAGTTGAACTTTTACTTAATAAATACAGTTCAATGGTCAAATCAGCTGCATTTTGCCCGGGCGGTGCAGCAAAATAAAGCTGATTTGACCGTTGCTCCAAGCGTGCAGAACGATGGTGGCAGGCTATGGCAAGCTGATTGTGTCATTCATTAATATCCACTTTTACCTATTACATGACACAACGGCATGCCATACTCGAGTGCCATCTAGCGGCTGAAAATGGTAGTGTTCAATATTTTCGATCAGAATTAATGAAAATGGTTGTATCTCAGCCAAAAATTGGTTTATAAATATGGGAAAAAAATCCATAAATACATCACTTCGACATATAAATACCAGGGCATGCAAATTATGCAAAAAAGACGCGACTTATAGGGCAAAAATTACGGTAAATCGGGTACTCTGGATGGTTTCTTTGTGTTGAAACATTTCGTCCTTCATCAGAGAGGGCGGACTCCAGAAGCCATCTTATCACCATCCAACTGGTTGGCCCACTATAGGAGTGTGCTGCTTGTGGGACTGAGTTTGTTGTGGCTCCTCGGGCTGATGAAGTGCTTTGGATGAAGGATGAAACGTTTCATGACAAAAAAAGAAACCGTCCAGATGAACTGACTTAACTTTGTTGGATTTTATATCTGGATTATTGAGCATGAACTTTGATATTTACTCTAGTAGTTCACAAGATATATTAATAACGCTATTGTGAAATGCGAGAATGCGCTCAGTTTAAACAAAGCACTCGGCTGAATCTGCAGGGAGGTGGAGTGTCACAAACACAGAACTCAGAATTGAAACACGAGACTTCTTGTTTTAGACTACCATATTTTTTGGACTATAAGGTACAATTAAAATCCTTTAATTTTCTCAAAAATCTACAGTGAGCCTTATAATCTGGTGAGCCTTATGTATTAACTCTGGTTGTGCTTACTGACCTCGAACCGATTTTATGTGGTTATTGTGAATGAGTTGAATAAAGTTTGACTTATCTGACTGTTTTGTTTTGCTTAATGCGCCTTATAATCCGCTGCGCCTTATAGTCAGAAAAATACGTAATATTATCTACAAACTTTACTCAACAAATCTGGGTGTAAATAAGTACCAGTATGACGGATGGACCTCTTGATCTCAAATGAACCTTTTATAGATACAGACATATTTAATCTACTTTCAGTCACTTCAGCTATTTCAGTTATTCAACAGATGCAAATTTTGCTTGAAAAATCTTAATTTAGCGACACACAAACCCTTGATATAAAAAAACCCACAGATTTTATGATTAACTTTATATATTTTAGTTTTCTTTTGACTGATCTTCATGACTTTGCAATGATTCATTTAAATAAATTGTAATGAAATGCGCAGTTATTGTTGTTTATGATGCTCTTTGCAGCCACAGCGAGTAAAATATTGTGCACAGATGTTTGCAAGTAGCTGCCCACTGTGACCTTTACTGCATCAGCCCATGATCATAACCTTTTGGTTTCATGTGCGTAGCTTTATTCACCTGCATGCATCTATATAACAAAACACTTTTATTTACACACGGCCAGTCGACTGAGCAAAAAGGCTCTTTCACGGCGGATACCTAATTGATGGCAGACACGCGGTGTTCCTTGTTTGCTATTCTGTCCGACCATGTTAAACACTGGGAGGGAATGGTTTGTCCTGTTGTCAGCCACAATTTAGGATAAGTACTACTGTAGAAATACTATAGGGACGATACTTTCTGAGTTGCTCTACGTGCTTACTTTAAGGGCTGTAAAGACTTGTTGTTTCCAAGCTTTTACATGTATGGTGTGTTTTTAAATGTACATCTAAAACCTATTTGGTTAATTGGATTTTCTATGTACTCACACAACTTGGCCTAAATTGCAAATTAGTTTTATTCCAGCATAATGGAAACCCTTGGAAGGTAATTTGATGGCATCTGTAAAGAGGAGCATTGATTCACAAGT